CAATATATTTGTGTGCGATTGTGTATACTGCATATTATGTTTATTCCCTACTCCTACACTTTCACCATTTAAATATATCGTAAAAAATGTCACAAGTATAAAACTTTATTTACTATCAAAATGATTCTGTCTAACTAATTTTTCATTTTAACTCTTTTTCAAACAAATGGATATATGCGTTTTAAGTATTGTTGTTTGACAAAAAAAATTTTGTAGTTCCAGCTGACGTGAATATTTTTAAAAGTATTTTGTAGCAGCGAAACGCTGTTTTGACAGGTGATATAGCTCAGTGGTGAGACGTTCCAGTGCTCCAGTAGAATGCAAACACGTATGTAAATCTTGAAATCACACATACATACACAAAAGCGAACACACACACACGCATCTACACACACGCACACACACACATACTTAAATATCATTACCCAATTCACGTATTGACGATAAAATGTTACCTGGCCATCTTGAAAAATTAATAAAGAAATTGTTGCAACGTCAAAATGAAAGACGCTCAAAGAAATTTTTCAACGAAATGTTATTATTAATAAAATCAAAACATTAGTTTCATATCAAATAATTATTAATTGTCAAAGTTGACAAATAAATTAAGGAAAACTTAAAAACTAATTATAAAACTTGTTATGTGACAAGGGAGACAAATATTGAGCGGAAAGAAAATGAAAGAGAAGAATGAACAGAGTTTTAATCGATCTGTCGAGTGTGGTTGCTGAAAGAATGACGCACCGTTGTCGACCATGGCTTGATGCTATGTTTCTAATTTTGTGATTGGTAACAATAATGCAAATTATAAAATATATAGATAAGTAAATAAATGCATGAAAGAAAAAATATATAAATAAATAATTAGATAACATATTAATTACATAAATAATTATTTAATATTTGCAGGTTAGATATTTTCATTTGAAGGAAGTTTAAAACAGTGGAAAAAGATCATTTTAATTAGGTTCCGTGTAATAATTGTTCGAAAATCCAACATTTTGCCAATATCAAACAACCGGTCAGTTAATGAGAAATCCTAACGGAATGGACATCATTTGAAATGATATCATTTCAAAGGCATCTTAGAGTCGGCACACGCATCAACATTCACTGATAAAAACTCACTGATATTTATTTACATGTACATGTGTGTGTGCATGAGCGTGTGTGGGAAAAAGTTTGAAAATTTTTTAAACTGTTGTGTCTGCGACAATAAATTATCTTGAATGGAATAGATTATATAATGAAATAAAAATAGTTTATCTACCCTGGGACAGACAACTTTAAGCAGACACCAAGCAGACACCATATTAAACACATTCCCCGTCATCAAATATGGCCACACACACGCTCACACTCGCACACACACACACTCACACACACACACACATACACACACACAGATACATAATCGCAAATATTTTCCTACACAAATACGCATATACCCACATGACTGTCAGGCAATCATCACTTTACGCAGACATTTACGCCCAGTCATGCTTTCAAGTATACTCTCGCGCATAAGCTCACGAATGATTTCACACGCACACGCACATATATTTACACTTGCAAACGCACATGATCCTGAGGCGGCTGCTGATACTTAGCGCCACGTTTGAACTGTTTGTGTCACAGTGTGGTGTTGAGGGTCAATGGACGTCAAGTAATAAAGAAACTTAAGTTTGAAAATGTTTGAATTTGTGATTCCTTCAATTCAGAGGGCTTAGACTAGACCCGACCTCCAGTTATAAAACGAGATAGATAGACATGAACAATTGGAACATGTTGCTGAAAGTGGTGATTGTATAACTAAATGTGTGAGGGCTGCTAAAAATGGTTGAGGGAAGGTCGCCAAAAAATTTTATCAAAATTTATAATCTGACAAGTGAAGTTTGAAAGAATTATTGGTCAAAAATAAAACTAGGTAGCGTTTTCAGTACAAGATGGGATATGGAATTAGACGTTAAGAGTGTTATGCAGCGGTAAATAAGAGCATGGGACAAAGAAGTCAAAGTAGATTGATTAACTCTATATTTAATTTTATAAGAAATACCAAAAAATTTATTGATTTGTCAATAATATATAAATGTACAAAAAAATCAGAAAACTTGACAGGACAGTTTCGATCAGTAAAGTTGGAAATATGATTAGAAAGAATTTTAAAATCAAAGTGGTTAACGATGAGTCCGTTGGATGAAAACCAGATGTCTTAATTTAATGAACTGTTGTCGGTTGAAAAATAAGGTTTGTGTCGTCAGCCAAAAAAAAGGAAAAATGTTTCAAAAACCTTTTAAGGAAAATCAAATCAAATTTTATTCAATCAATCCAAATTAATAATAATTAGGTAATGATTAGGAGACCAAAGTTAAAAGAAAACAAAATTCTTGTGTCGCAGGCCACCGTTCACAAATTGTTCATTCTAACACGATTTTTAAGTAAATTTATAATTCATGACAAAATTAACATAATGCAGAATTTACATGATTCTAATTAAATAAAAATTGTACTTTTTATCAATAAATTAACAAAACAAAGAACGTGAAATAGTGACCTGGGGTACCCAGTTGTTCATTACAGATAAAATAAGAGCGGTGATTAAAGTGTAATCGATCAGTCAGGGACTCAATCTCAGATTCCATAAGACTGCACTTTGTTTGAAAAATATCGTAATTAATAAGATTGTTGTTAGAAACTGGTAACGATGATTCACAGTTGTTGCGCATGAATGTGTTTTGAATTTTCAATGAAAATATTGCGTAAGTTATGGAAATAACAAATAATAATTTGTTCGCGAATACTTATTGAATGATAAATGGCATTCGATGAAGGATTTTTGTTCAACTCGCCATAATATCAATACATGTCACGATATACGTTTGATTGTAATTGTTTGATGCATTGCAACGTATCCTATTTTGTGCAACGTTTTGTGTGTGTAAATGTGGGTAACATAGAAAATATTTTTAAAAAATGAAAACTGGTTTTTATATTCGGGTCGAAGTTATTTTCGATTTTGGACGAACTTGTTCTGTTTGTGTTGATCACGTTGTTTTGCTCTGATCATGCTGCCGGGCTTTAAGAGATGATTTGCAGGGTCGCCAAATTTAAACCCCTCCACAACAAATAACTGGCCAGGTCATCACTGACAATTTGATGGAACTTTTTTAACGTAGATTATGTGTGCCTGCAATAACTTTCAATTTGTTCATATAGAACAGGTTAATTTACAAAATTTTGTCTTATTGACATTCGGTTTTCTGCACTTGCCAAAAGTCCATTTACAGTTAATTTTAAAGTTGCTCCTGAAACTCAATTATAGATTTTGTTGAATCGATATGATTTCTTATCAATGTTTGTAATAGAATTTTAAAATAAATGTTTTCAGCCACATCCTGAAAAGATTGAATCATGTTATCTTATTCTATTACTCACAACATATCAATGCTAAGGTTTTCCAGTCTTATATTAAGTCCGAAAAAATACGGAAAAAGTCTTAATGCAATGAATGAATTGCAAAATTGTTCAAGCAACTTTAACCTTTGTAACCATTTTGTGCTGTTTTGTGTAGTTTGAATTTTTAACCATTATCTTCTAACATTCTTTTCAAATAAAATATTCAGTATGTATTATACTAAATTCGTTATACACAAATATATGTGTAATTACATATATGTATATTATATATATACTTATTTATATATATATAATATATAATATGTATATACATATATATGACAGTATAAATAGAAAATGTATATAGCTCTTTAAGTTAGGAAGACAATTGTAATTGATGGGAGCATTTTGCCTGGCATTGCAGCTGCCATTCATCATTCCTCCTTCTCAGCCACACGGAAGGCTTCGTGCTGCTGCATCGACAAGAAAATCAACAAGCGTAAGTGTAAAGCGATGCGTTTAAAACAATTACACAAACATTACATTCAATACATTTACAAAAGTGTTACATTCAATACATCCACTATTACATTCAATACATTTACTAAAGTTTAACATTCAATACAATTAAGAAATCGTTAAATTCAATACAATTACTATACAAAGACTATTCAAAACTATCCCGACATTACATACAACGTTAACAGAGCCTAGTAAGTAATGACTAATTACTTGATAAAAACTAGTAGTTTGTTAAAAACTAGATGAGATTGTTAAAGCGGCAGAATATGATTAAGCTGAAGAAGACATCCAGCCCACCGTCCAAAACAATTCCAACACTTTCTAATAATAAAACAATACTAGTCTAATTATCTGTTTAAATGAAATTTTCAAAATCACTGATTTGTTATAACATTTTTTTCTTCGCGTGTTGAGCTGCCTAATTAGTATTATCATTTTTTATCCAGATATAGAATTTGTTTGAAATTAAATGAATTAGGCCAATTTTTGGCTGTCCTCATGAAGACACTCTTATAACATTTTGTATCACCAGCTTACGGTTCATAACCATATCCCTTTAGACCTCATCACAACATCACATTACATACATTGTATTAGATTTTATCACATTGTATCTTGCCACATATCACACCAGACCTCTTCATATTATCAATACATCACATTACATGACATTTCATCGCATCTCATATCACAACCTACATTACGCATATCGTATCACGGTGGTCTGTACAAGTTTTGATTTTCTTATGGGATCTCCGTAAATCCTCACAATCTCAAATCCTTTCTTTTATTTTCATTTTGTGTTTCGGATTTAAATAAATGAATTTTTGATTTTGATTTTGATTCATTTCAACTCATTACTTCTCAATAATCACGTTAATATTTATCACATCAAATCTCACAAAATTTGGTCACCACTAATCACATCACATTCCAAATTATTACATCACATCTTATCCTAACTCATCACATTACATCAGGTTATCTCTCGCGGCAACAGGCTTAAGTATATCTTATCACATCTTGGCACATTACGTCCCATCATACTCCATCACATCACATCTTGTCGCATCAGATTCCATCACATCACATTCACACTACACCACATCACTCTTTACAATCAAAAAAATTCTTAAATTGCGTGTCAGAAAAATTCACTTTGCGTCCTTTATATATGTATATATGCAAATTATATATAGGTTTATAATTATATATATATATATCATTTATATATTTATGTTTACAATTCGGTAGAATTCATACATGGTATCCTTCCAACACACACACACACACACACACACACAGAGAGAGAGAGAGAGAGAGAGAGAGAGAGAGAGAGTACATGAACAGTTGTTCAATTTGCATATATTTTACTTACATACATATTCATATTCAGCACATCATTCTTGTCTTAGTTCAAAACAGAGTTTTTTGGTCGTTACAAATCAGATAATGTGACTACCCTAGTCATGAAACTGAAACTCGTAGAGGGATTGCACGACAGACGGAGTAACAGCACCGTAATATTAATGCATCTGATACTACGTTTCAATAATCAGGTCTGAGAGCATTGAGAAACTGCCAATCGTACGCTAATGTTTATGAGGCTTTGAAATACAATGTGTTGCAGGAAAAAAAATTTGAAAGCGCCGATAAACACTACACAAAATTTGAGGTTCTAGTGATTGATAAATATAATTTAATAGAATCCTTGGATGCCTATCATCGTATTATTGAAAAACATTTAAACATATCGCATGAAATCATTTGCATCTTGTCAGTGACAATTACCCGCTTCGGTACAACCACCACAAACCCCACTAAATCATATCACGCCATAGTGATCAGATTACATCACACCGCATTGTACCACCTAACATCATTGCATCAGATATCAGATCTAAGCTCCGTCTCAAATGTGGACAATGTTATATATGGCCTAGGGCAGCACTTTGCATTGGCCACATTTCTCCAAATGCAGTCGTGTTACACAACCGTCAACTTAATCCCTGAACATGTTTGTGCTGTTCAGTATATACTCCATCAGGTTCGTAATCAGTGATACTGGTAATTGATTGTCGTATGCATTTTTTCTTTTTTCCTGTTGGAGTGTATTTTAGAACCATGTGAACGATTTTGCTTTAAATCAAATCACATTTCACTACAACACACACCTCACATCCCACCCCACCACAATATTCCGGACTACATCCCATCACATCCCATCACACCACACCACTTCAGCTCAAATCATTGACATAACTTTACATAAAATCATGTAATGCTCACATTCCACTAAATTACATCACTTTTTTGCAATTAATCTATTAAGATTTAATCACATCATTTTGTATCGCATCTTCATCATTATTTTGTACTGTGTTGTATTTTTTCTTAGAATATGGCATCAAACAACATCAATATATTGGCATCATATTGTTATTATTATTTATATTATTATTATCATTATCATCGTCATCATCATCCCCATCATCATTTTCGTCATCGTCATCATTATGTATGTATATATATATATATATATATATATATATATATATATATATATATATATATATATAATACTATCATCGTCATCATCATCATCATTAGGTTTATATGTAGTTATTGTTGTTAGGATCGCCATTCAGATCATCATCATTATTAGCTCGTCATCGTCCAGCTATTAATTTTTAAACAGAAGAATGCTTTCGTTATAGTAACTGATTGTGTATTTGTTTTCTTCAGAAGCATTCAATCTGCCAAGTCATCCTCTTGCTAACATGCATATATTATTTATATTTTTGAGACATGCCGATTTTTATTTGAATCCTATTTATTTAATTGTGTGATGAGCATTTATCAGGCATTCATACCTTATTGACATTATATATTTAAATCGTTTAAAATACTTAGTTTCACTTTATTTAATGTTTGCCTTAATATTCAATAATAACGATAACTGATTGACAGACTTTAACTTTATTGTTATATAATTTTACATAGATAGAAAGACGAAAAAATTAGAGAAAAGAAAACATGGTTGACACAAATTTGGCAAAAACTTCATTAAATTGTCTCAACTCAAGTGCTTATTTATAGATTAGCTAACTATCCTTGAATTAAACTTTTCGACCATCCATCATTTGTTTGATCGATTTTTTTAAAATCTGTTCTCATATAGGTCTACAGTATTTCCTATTTACCGACATTTCTGTTAAAGTTGATGTGGTTTTCAAAATTTATTTCTATGAATATTTAATCTAATAAAGTATTTATTTGTCTTTCTATTTTTATAACAAAAAGAGGTGAGGCAAAATATCAAATTATTATTTTGATGTTTAAAAATTTTGGAAATGAGACCAGAAATTGAAATAAACAATATTAATTTTATTTTAAATTGCCCGCAACTATTCATGTATCATGATTTAAGTTGATGCTAAACAACTCGCACAAATTTGCCACGCCACCATTAGACTTTTTAACTTCAAACCTCCTTGCCTAGTCAGCAAACTCTTCAAACCCCAACACTAATTTTAATTTATCAACTACACCAAACAGATCACTAACATTCATCAGAGATGAATTTGATCCAATAGCACGTTGTTACAGTCAACACTCCACTAGTCACATAATAATCTGTAATTTGATTCTGCCATTTACTATAGCACAAAATATTGTTGATGTAGTTAATTATTGATCCACTCAATTTGGGCTATTAGTAATAAACATGCGATATCCTATCAAACGTCTTTATAAAAATTGTATAAACAATATCATTTTTCTTGTCATTATTTGCAATCTTTGTCTAACCATCTATCAACATTAAAAATTGTAAAGCCGTTGATTTACTTATAATAATATAATATTTTCTATAACCAAAAAATTATTTTCCAAATATAAAGTGACCAGATACTCAATAATAAATTCTAACAAATGTTGCTGATGCCAACCTGTAATGAACAACCACCACATCCCTATCCATCTTTCTTATTGGTGACCCCACATCTCACCAGACCATGTACAGCCTGGCCTCTTCCACTCATTAGAATGGAGTGACTTTTCAAACGCAACACAAAAACAATTATAGATTGATTTAAGCCACTGGACCCAAAATCTAGCGCAAACTTTTATCTTCGCTTAAACACCGGACCAGCAAAATATCTTGCCAGTCAGTGCATTCCCTCGGTCTCCACCATTCATTAAAATGAAATTATCGCAGCTGCTTAGAAAAACGATTTTCACAATTAATAATGTGTTTCCAGAAAATCTTGAATTTTATAAATACGTACGCACGTAACATTTTTTGAAACTTTTTAGGCAAAAGGCTGTTCTATGCCTAGAATGTTATCGTTTTTGTAAATCAAACTTTGCCATTTATTTGTTTATTTCTTTTTTTGCAAAATTGAGCGGAGGACGATGCGTGTCTTGTCACCATCAACAGTATCAACTCTCAGCATCGCCAGCCGCAGAGCAACAAACCGCTCCTCTTATCTACATTCACGCATGCATACACATGAACGTTCCATACACGCAAAAACATGCACAAGCACATATATGCTGGATAAGATAATTCAATGTATTACTTCTTGATATATTCTTAAACGTTTTTTTAGTTTTAATTGATTTGCGTTGATGTTTTATTTAAATTTAGTCTCATTTCAATTTACGTATTCTTTAATTCATTTAATTTATCATTAAATTTTTTAATCCCTCTGGTTAACATATCACAGATACACTAAAAACAGCGGTGCATTGTATTATTTTTATCATTTATCATCAAAATATAATCCATAAAACTTTTCACTTTTTGTTAATTTTCATCATCAAATCTTTGGCGTTTTAGGTAAGTTAAATGCCGTTAACCACTCCTGTTTATCAGAATGTATAAAAATAAATGCACGTGAGTTAATAAGCTATTATTAATTGAATAAGTACAAGTTCATATATTAATTGGTTTCTAATAGTCATATGCAGTTGATCTCAAATATTGTACGTGTATGTGATGCGGATCGTTTAACGTTAGTGCTAATTCTTGCAAATAAAAATTTATTTTTTCGTGTTTAAACTTAGACACACTATTTCCAACTCGTGAGATGGACGAACCAATGGACGAAGAATGACTCAACATACCAACTAGAACTTGTCAATTGTTAGACACCAACCTCAAAAAACCTGCAAACAAATTTTAACTAAATAAAAACTACATTTCTGTTGCGGCTTTCAAGTTCCTTACTGAATGTTGTCTCGTCGAGCTGCCTGTTAAAAACATTTCCACAACTTTCTTAATATAATTATTTCTATTTTAAAAACAAGCTGCAAAACTTTGTTTTCAAGGATAGCAGTTGAGAATGCGGTTTGTTATCAATGTTCGTAGCTTGGACTGAACATGCATTTTGCAAGAGTCTGCTCTTTCTTTTAAGTTCTGCTCCTTAGTAAGCAGCGGGCATGCCAAAATGACATTGCAGTATTCATCATTGTAGTGTACAGTCCCATCAACATCCTTTTTTCTCTTTTTTATGTCAAAAGTGTAATTGGAGGCAAAGATAAAATATGTCAAAACAAGAATAACTTTTAAACAGATATCATCACCATCGTGATCGTCGTCGTAAATAAAAAATTTAAATTTTTTAACAAGATGTTTTGCTCAGTAACCTGGTGATTGCTACAATAATCACCAACTATCGTGTGTCATCAGCATTACAAGAACCACAAAGGCAGGCACCATTACGCTCGCAGTTATCAGCTCTTAACTATACACGAAACTTAACTTACAAATAAACTGAACAAATAAAACAAATTGTTGAACGGTTCAAAAAATATACTTGTAGCCATTGGAAAGACGGTTCTTAATAGAACCTTTCTAATGTTTTATAGAACGTTCGCAACGATCAGCAGCTGTCTCTGAACACTCATTTTCGATCAAACACAACAGCTCGATGTATCAGGAATAAAATAAGGCTACGCTAAATAATTGAATGTTATTGCATGTGCGTGTTAAGCACATGTTCAGCATTAAATACGACTTCCTCTAATAAAAGGACGATGAAAGAGAACAGATATGCCTGCTCACCGAGCCAGCACCATTCTTGCACGCCTACACAGAAGTTCATCTTAAAAGAAACCTACAACAAATAATAATACACTTAAACGGTCTCACTCCCAAAATATTCAAAATGTTTCCAAACTGGAAAGTTAAACATCTTATGGGAGAAAAGTAAACTTCGTTCCCGGGAGTTTAAAAAAAGCACACCGTTGTACAAAAGGTTGCATGTGTTTTAAAATGAAAGACGCATGTACAAATTGAATTATTATAAGTAAATATTATTTTATTCATTCAATCATGTAATTGTTCAGTCATCCAGTCGATGAAACATCAATCGATAAATAATTGATAACTTTAACTTAATCAATCATTCAATCGATCTATCAATCAACCAATCAGCCAATCAATCAATCAATCAATTAATTAACTGACTAAACGAACGATGGCCACACAGCTGACTGGCCCCTCACATGATTCTTCCAGTAGACAAGCAAACGAACGAACGAAAGAAACGAACGAATGAACAGGCAAATAGTGGTTAATACTGAAGAGGATTCACTATGTTACATTTTGATCGATCAGCTAACAACGACAAATTTTCATTTGATTTTAGCATTGAAAATTTTTCCTCTAAATTTGTGAATCATTCTTTGAATAGAAAAATTGTTGTTCAAATTTTTAAATATTTTTCTTTCATAATAAATAATTTCTGCTCGAAACAAACATGTGCGTGCTTTGTGATAATAACGAGGAGATAGCAAGCAATGAAACTTGGAAATAATCTGCCGAGCCGGACTTCTTTATTTATTTTCAGCTTTTTATGTAAATACGCAGAATCTTTATAATTTTAGTTCTATATTTTTACGGCCTGTTTTATCTGCTTCCTTCATTCAAGTTCCTTCCAGAAAAGAAATCCATGGAAATTTAATTAAATATTATTTTCGAAATTTCGAAAACCCTGTAAAGATGTTGAATGACAAGATGACAACATTAAAGAAACTAAACAATATAAATTCCATTCAAAATGTAACGTCCTTGTTAAATAAAACTGCATGACAAATGAATTTTTTCAATATTAAATAGCAATTCTGTATTACAAATTCTAACACAACCGCTGTTGTAACTAATGCTGCTGCTGATGATGATGAAAAAGATGATGATGAAGATGATGGAGAGGACGATGATGATAGAGATGATGATGACTGAGATGAAGATGGTGATGACGATGAAGAAGAAAACGACGATGACGAAGATATAAATGGACATGCTGATGTGGATGTAAATGAGATGATGGGCACTGGGCAGTGCATGGATATCCGAAAGAGTAATGAGATAAGAACAGTCAATGATGAGATTAGATGGATGTGTCGTGAAACCTTCATCTGACTCTATGAAGGAATGCGAACGACTGCAAACAAGGAAAATGAACTCGATGATTGATTAACAATAATTTCTAATTCAACATCGTGATTTTTATGTATTTTCAAAATGGTTGATAAAGTTTTTAAGCTTAATTTCTTCAATTCTTCAATTTCAATGTTAAAACAAGCAATTGTGACAATGTTAAATATTTCATTTATTATCTATAAAAAAAGCTTAATACAGTTTGTAAATTTCGCTAGCTAAATATCAAATTTTGAGCGGATTTTTTGATCATTGATTGTAATAAAAAATATGTTTAATAAAGGCAAAAGTAAATAATACACACACACAAACACAACCGTCAACTTAATACCAGAACAATCCTCTGCTATGTAGTGTTAGCTCGATCGAGTTGTTACAAATAGCAGAAATGTTTAAATGTAGTCTACATTGGGTATTTCTTTTTTAGAAGCTTTCTATTGAAACGTGTGAATGATTCTACTTTAAAAAAAACTAAAAAAATGGTTTCAATTGTTTATTTTTGTTGAAATGTAAAATTAATTCCATTTGGGAACATGGAGATTATGTGGTTGAAGTCTATCTTGCTATAAATGGGTCATTCTCTGTCAACTTGAACCATGGTCCACGCCCGACCATCTCCGATTTTTTTAAAATTTGAACAGTAAGTACCTCAATGTATTTCATCGACAAAATAAAATTTTTATAAAAAAATTTCAATTATTTTTCAAGTTATGAAGATTTTTGTGACAGCATCCCCAAATTTTTGAGCGATTTTTTTCAAAACTTGTACCTATGTAGAACGCTATATCTCTTGAACTAGCCAACATATCTTGATGAAATTTTTTGTGCATATCAGTGAAACAATGTAATAACAAAAAAAATAAATGTTATTGTTTCGAATCAAAAGAAATTTTGAACAAAAAATCTAGAAAAAAATGAATTTTTTGAAAATTTCACCGATTTCAAAACAGCGTAGCTCAAAATCTATCGCAAAATAAATAAATATTTTTTGTTATTTTAGAAGTACCTTATAGTCATAAATAAATCACAAAATTTCGTTAAAATCTGTATTGAATTTTTTGAGCTATCGGAGCTCAAAATGTCAAAAAAATGAAAAACTTCTTTTGTTTGGCGCCATTTTTAACTATGAAGAACC